GTTTCCTTATTAGCTGTTACTGATGCTTTGGCGATTAGACTATGAAACTAGTTCAATTGGTGCATTTTGTGACCTTGTAAACTAGTTCAAAACTATGTTGCTCGGACTCTTCAATGTTGTATCTGTGTTAGATCCTTCAAGAATGCACTACTCTTGGAGGATCTGACATGCACCTCTCGGTATGTTTGAAGAGTCTGAGAAACATAGGTTCAAACTAGGTCTCGTATAGTTGAGTGCAGTAACATTATCTGAAATGAACAAGCAAATTCTTGAAATCCTTGTATTTTACTTCTCTCTTTACTGAAGGCACTCAAGAGGAAGCAGCTGCAGCATATGATATGGCAGCAATTGAGTACAGAGGGCCTAATGCAGTCACCAACTTCGACATCAGCAGATATGCAGACCATTTGAAGAAACTTCGCGAACCAAATCTGTTAACAAAGGAGGAAAACACAGAGTCCTCTGCTGAAGTTCAATCAAATGAGGTGATCGAACAGTATCAGCCGGTTCAACAAGAAGAAAACCAATTGGATTATCAGCTAGCGGAATTAGCTGCAGAACCAATAGTAGTACCAAAGTTGGAGTTTACGCCTGCACTTGATTCTGATGAAGTGACTCAACCAAAAGTTCTGAAGTTGGAGTTTGCTGCTGATATAATGAAGGCGAAGGACCACGAGGAGGAAGAGGACTACCCGTGGATGAACATGTACTTGGACAACACATTTGATTCGCTCCCAGTTTCCGACTTCTCTCTTGACAAACCAGCTGACTTGATGGATCTTTTCAATGACAACAGCTTTGACAACAACATTGACTTCAATTTCTATGAGCAATCAAGTGAGAATGAGTTCAACCTGAATGTATTCTCCGACAGCATGATCATCGATGGGATTGAAGCTGATAATGAGGAAGTAAGGAACAATCTGTCGATTTCACCTACCTCATCATCATCCATGTCAAGAACAACATCCATTTCCAACGACATGAAAGACGATGGAGGTTTGGCATCTTCGACGATGTAAGATGTTTGGAGTAAGAACTCAGCTTGGTGTTAACTGTTAAGTATATTATAAGTTTGATAGGAAACCTTCCTCCTAGTTTTAGTTGCTTTTTAATCTTTCCTAGATAATATAGAGACACAAGCAGAAGGCCTTGTGACTCCTTTTTTCAATTAGTTTCACCAAATATGAACTCCTGCAGTTTAGCTGAAATGTTGCTTAGCAAACTTTTTGGTTTCAGTTGCATTTGCCTGTTGTGATATCCCCAGCTACACTTGCTTTTCTGCTATATTGCTCGGCTTTTTCAAAAATATTGCCGTATTCGTATTTAATTCTCCAAAAATATAGTACTATTTTTGAAGGATTCGATACACAGCCAGCGACATATTTGAAGAGTTCGAGTAACATAACTTTTTTGTGCATTGCTAATGTTCTTTGTTAGTCACCGTATTGCATTATTGATACTCCATCCGTCCCAAAATAAGTGTCATTTTAACAACAAAAAAAATTCTAAATTAAGTGTGACCGTAGAAATTCAAGATAAAATCAATAAGTGTCATCATATTGCATTAACTAAATTAGAAGTCTCATAAATTATTAAAAGAAGAAAAAAACTAAAAGGAGGATGCACTTCAATATAATTATCGAGAGTAAGAGCTATAGTCTGTTTTTAATACTCAATAGCTTGATATAATCAAAAGCTTATGCAGTTTCAAAATCTCTCTATTGAATAACATATTTTTAATTTTTCTTGCAAAATTTATTATAGACGCCTTTTTTTCACAAATACAAAAACTAAATTATAATATAACCGCAAAAAAATAGTTTTAAATTATGATATAGTCGCAAAAAAAAATAGTTTTATTTTTTTTCTTACATTAAAGAATGAAAGAAAAAAATAAAATAAGAATAAGAAACTCAAATATGATAATCAATGATGTCAAAAATAATTTATATATGAAAAAGATTAAAATATACTACCTTGAACTTTGCTAGAAGGATCATATAGAGCCTTACATGCATTTAAAAAAAAAGAAGTAAAAAAATCAAATTTAAATCAATTTTTTTTTCACTTTCGTTAGATGAAGGGTATATGTGAGCTCCTTTTGTAATTGTTGGGGTATATGAACCATTTTTATAACGGAACGGTATATATGAGTCCCTTCATAACAAGTGATATATCAGCTCTAAATGACCAAGTTGAGGGGTATATCAAACTCTTTCCCCTTAAAGGTATACCAAATGTAGGGGTGTTAGAGTTTGAACTTTGAATAAAATTTGATTCAAATCGGATACCCAAGCCAAATCAATTAAATAAATCGATTTTATTTGAATTTGATTCTACATTTTAAAAAATCGATTGTATTGGTTTGGTTTTGATTTTGTTCAAAAATCCAAAGAAATAATGTAACCAAACCAACAAATTATATATATTTTATTATCATACATACATAATATATCATTAATTTTATAAATAATTTATATATGTTTTCATTAAAATCTATATATATATATAAAGCTGAATATAGAGAAGGTGATGTGGCACCTCTCTATGGCCAACATTCATATTTTTTTTTCTCCTCTTTTTGCATTTTAAAATTCATAATTTATTAATTAAATAAATTTAAAAAGCCTAACAAAATATACTATGGATAACTAACAGTAATGCCAATAACAAACATTAATGCTAACCCACGTAATAGCAGTTTCTAATAAAGCCCAAATAACTACTTCATCCCACGTACTACACTACCAAATAATGCTAATTAATAATCAACCTTTGGCTTTTCAATTTCCCGGCTTTATAGTTTTTGTGTAAAGATTAAAGAGTATTAGAGAATATATAAATTCCTCCAATTTCATGTTCAGGAAATTTGTAGAAGCATTGAACAGAAGAAGTCAAGAAATGTACGTAACAATTCATTTTAATTTTCTTTTTGCATATTTTGTTGATGACTTGCTAATTATTTTCAGTATATTTTTATCTCATTTGTTTGAGCCGAATATGACTACAATTCAATTTTCTTTGAGAAATCAGATTGTGCCAACATAAACTTTAATAGCTTTTGACTTCGGTGCCTCGAGTGAAGATATTTTGATACGGTATGTCACAAATTTATTTAAGCATGATATTTTACTTTTTACAGATCATGAAATGTAATTGATTTTGCAATCAATTCTGGATATATATATATATATATTTATTTATTTATTTTTATCTCATTTTTCGGCCTTTTTTCTATTTTTTTTCCATTTATATAATATACCCAATTAACTCTATTAACTATGTTA